ATGCAATCTAAAACCATCTCTATCTATTGGACCGGATGGAATATGTGCCTACTTCTTAAAAAAGCTATCCACTGCCATAGCCGAACTTCTAAGCATAATCTTTGAAAAATCCTTCAGGACCAGCTCCTTGCCAAAACTATGGTCACAAGCCATGGTCATCCCCATCTTCAAAAAGGGAGACCCCAGCCTAGTTGAAAATTACAGACCAATCTCCTTATGCTGCATCATCTGTAAAGTCATGGAATCAATTATTAACCAATTCATTATCCTCCACTTAGAGACAAAACAATTTGGTTTCAGAAAAAAACTATCCTGTAATCTGCAACCCTTACACTGCAAAAACATATGGACTACACAACTCAATCGGGGCAAAGCAATATGCTCAATTTACATAGACTTCTGTGAAGCCTTTAATTCAGTGGTACATGACAAACTACTACTAAAACTAAAATCTTATGGTATCTCTGGACACCTGCATAACTGGATAGAAGCATTCCTGTCAAACAGGCAACAAATGGTCAAAATTGGGAGCGTCCTATCAAATTCTGTACCTGTCAACAGTGGTGTCCCCCAAGGCAGTGTTCTAGGACCAACTCTCTTCATAGTCTACATAAATGACCTCTGTGATCATATTAAGAGCAACTGCGTTCTCTTCACCAATGATGTAAAGCTATTCAACACCACCGACAATACTGCTACCCTTCAAAAAGACCTCAACTATATATCAGAATGGTCAAACAAATGGCAACTTCAAATCTCAACAAATAAATGCTCTGTATTACATATTGGCAAAAAAAATCAGAAAATAAAATACAAGCTGAATAATAAGGCCTTGTTGGTGATCCAAACTCTCTCAAGGACCTTGGAGTACTCATCTCTAATGATCTAGGTGCTAGAGCCCACTGTAACTACATAGCCAAAAAGGCATTAAGAGTTGTTAACCTAATCCTGCGTAGCTTTTTCTCTGGTAATATCACACTACTAACTAGAGCATACAAAACAATTGCTAGACCAATACTTGAATACAGCTCTTCAGTCTGGAACCCGCATTACATATCTCACATTAACACAGTTTAGAAAGTCCAGAAATATTTCACAAGTAGAGTTCTATACTTCTCTACTCATTGCAGAATACCTTATGCCACCAGACTTGAAATTCTAGACCTCGAAAACCTAGAACTACACTGCCTTCGGTCCAATCTAAGTACAGCACATAAAATTATATTTTGCAATGCCCTACCTGTCAATGAATACTTCAGCTTCAACCATAACAATACAAGAGCACACAATAGATACAAACTCAAGGTAAACTGCACCAAACTTGATTGCAGGAAATACGACCTCGGCAACAGAGTGGTCGATGTCTGGAATCCTTTACCTGACTCTGTGGTTTCTTCCCAAACCCCAAAAACTTTAACCTTAGACTGTCTACTATTGACCTCACCCCTTTCCTAAGAGGTCTGTAGGGGGCGTGCATAAGCGCACCAACATGCCTACCGTCCCTGTCCTATTGTTTATTTTTCTTTTTCTTATATGTATCCATTTCATGTATTCATAACTATGTTTATACTTATACCTGTTATCTTATAATTGCTTGACAAAATAAAATAAAAAAATTAAAAAAAAACTTGTTTGAATAAAAGTTACATGACCAGGCCTGTAAATATTCTGTTGGTTTTGTTTGCTAAGGCTTTTCACCCATGCAGTACATTCTGTGGCTTGTTGTTATTGGTGTTTAAGAATACAAAACATAGAATTATAGTGTTGGAAGGGACTTTAGAGGTTATCTAGTCCATCCCCCTGCTGGAAAAGTAGACCCTATGCCATTTTAGACAATTGGCTGTCTTTTCTTAAAAGCCTTCAGTGATGGAGCACCCACAACTTTCCAGTGGTTAAATGTTTTCACTGTTAAGAAGTTTCTTCTTAATTCCAGGTTGCTTCTCTCCTGATTAGTTTCCACCCATTGATATGGATATTATGGACTGCTCCAAAGTGTATAGCTCTTATCTTATTGGTTTATGTTTAATGATAACTATATACTAACATATTAGTATCACATAAAATTCATGTGGAATTGTACTAGAGTACTACATAATCAGAACTGTCACTTGAATGAGGGCCATGGGGGTTAGTCTGTTAATCAGCACCCAAATAGAATAAATATAGTATAAATGAAGTTTTAGGAGATTTTCAGCAAGAGAAAGATTAAAGCTAGCTTCATAAATTGCATGAAACCACCATAAACCAGGGGTGTCAAACTCGTGGCCTGCAGGCCAGATGCGTCATGCACTGGCCAAAACCATGCCTAGTTTAGTGAAGGGGAAAAAGTCTTGACATCTTACATGACGACGCCATGACGATGCAAGATTGACACCCCTGACCTAGAATACGGTTAAGTTTTTCATAATGTATAAATCAAGCCACTGTAGCTAGTTTTAAAAACCATGGTTAAAAATTTCCTGAACTGCTATTACTCCTGGAAGAATGCTCGTATTTCTCAAGATAGCCTTTTTCATATTTGAGCTTTATTGTAACTGATAAAATGGGATAGAAGATGGTTGGAAAAGGTTACGGAGAAAAATGTGAAATTTTGGGAATGAGTAGAGCCATAATAGTATAAACACATTATCAGAAAGAGCCAATATAAATAAATTCCAGCAGGCAGGTCTGGATGGAAGACATGAGCCCCTTTATAAACTGAGCTTGAAAGCCAAAGCCAGACTACTTTGTATTTTTATAAAGGTAGAACCATTTTGTCATATTTTATTGAAGTTTAGCAATAACAAGTTATAAAAACAGTTGCTCTCCCTAGATTTTAAGCAATTTACTCCCTGGTGGTATGAATATGTGGCCAAGAACAATGAGAAGTGTCTTGTTTTGTGTGCATTCTATGATTCTTACAATATAAAGGCCCGTGGATATTTTGTGCGCACCATAATAATAAGCCTGTTCTTTGGAAATAAAATATGTGGCATCATTAACATGGTTACTATTGTATGCATTGTTCATTGAATATAATGAAGCATTTGACAACAAAGATCAAGGTAAAAATTAAAGCTGAAGCAATTGATTACCTTTCTCCTTTATTTAAAAAAAACAAAACAGACAATGTCACAAAATATCTAGCAAGCCCCGCTCTCCCTGTTTTAGGATTGAGTTCCATTCTCCAGATGTATTAAATGGCAGCACACTCTACTGGATGTCATTATTGCAATTCTAAGAGTAAAATGAATGCCACTAAAAGTAACCAAAGCACAACTGAAAATTCAAAGAATTATCAATATCATTTAGAATATGCAGATATTTTCAGTATAGCAACCAAAGTACAGTAATATAAAGTGATCTTCATATTAAGTCTGTACAAATTCAGTAGTGCAGAGAGTTGGAAAAACACAGAATTCAGGAAATCCATGGAGTGAAATGTTGAGATTAGAGGAAATGTTTGGATAGAATCCTAACTGGGTTGCTTCTTTTAAAATGAGAGAAAGTTTTACTATGTTTAGTTACTGTTCCTATCTCTTATAGTGCACCATCTTCTCTCATTATTCCTTTAAGAATTGTTAAGCTATAATGTGTTTTGATTGATTTTGATTTAAAATGATCATTGTGGCTTGTAAATCATGGATTATAATTTAGCAGGTTGAGTGAATTTGGTCAATTATGTTTAGTTTAGTTTACTTTATTGTCATTGCACCTCGTACAACAAAATCAAACACCATCTTCAGTGCACATTATGACCATGATGTTGAAAATAAACGCAAACACACATTCTTCACCCTTCACACATTGAACCGGAAACCCCCGACACCACACCAACACTGCACTATACAGCAGAATTCAAAAGAGCAATTGCCCTGGGATAGAAGCTGTTTTTCAGCCTATTTGTCCTTGTTTTTATTATTCTGTACCGTCTGCCAGATGGTAATAGTTCAAAAAAGGGGTTCCCAGGATGAGATAGATCTTTGAGAATGTTTTGAACTTTCTTAAAGCAGTGGGAGCTATAAAGCTTTTCCAAAGAGGGGGGAGGGCAACCAATGATCTTCTGGGCAATGACATTAACCCTCTGGAGTGCTTTCCTATCTGCCACTGTGCAATTGGCAAACCATACAGAGGTGCAGTATGTTAAAATGCTCTCGATGGTGCAGCAGTAGAAGGTCACCAGCAGTTTTTCATTCAGTTGTTGTTGTTGATTTATTAATGAATTATGTTTAAGGACACCATAGCTACCTATGTTATATAAAAACAGAATATAACTAAATTATATTCTCAGTAGTTGGCTTCTATTTTCTAAACTCTCTGAGTAACCATTCTTTGGGAATAACCAGTCTTCCCCAAATTCTCAAGCAGTCATTAAGCATTGGAACAGAGAATTTGGGGACTTCACTTGAAATTCCAGGGTGGAATTTGGAAGCACTGCATTAAAAAAAGCTTACTCAGAAAATACACTTATATGTTGATTTTCCCCAAATTGTCTGAAAATGTCACTATATAGTTTTGAAACTTTGGAGCAGTTTTGAAATCTTATGATTGCTCTGATTGGAGATTATATAACTACTCCGAAAAATCCAGATAACTACTAGATGGCAACAAAGAGATAACAAAACTCTAGCTCTTTGTTGCTATCAGCTAGATTTTTACAGCCTAGACCAGTGATGGCTAATCTTTTCAGCACTGAATGCCCAAAGCACATGCACATGCACCCCCAAAATGCAATATGTGTGTGGCCCCGTGCATGCCCCCCGACCCTACGCATGCACAGCAGAGGCCCAAAGATCAGCTGGCCGGTGGGAGGTGTGCATGTGCATGTGTGGTGGAGCTGAGCTGGGGTGATAGCTCATGTGCCCACAGAGAGAGCTCTGCATGCCACCTCTGGCACGCGTGCCATAAGTTCGCCATCATGGACCTAGACCCAGTAGACTTATTTCAAGCAATTGCAAATACATGACAGTTTCTCCTGATGAGAAAGAACTTCCATTGACTTATTGCTCCTGTATTTCCAGACCTCTGTCCAGTTCCTCTTTTTGGAGGCCAAACCAAGCCGTGCCACCGTGGCAGCAGATCTAAACTTTCCAACTACTTCTATGTTTTCTTGCTGGGTCAGTTCCTCTTAGGAGCAGGTGGAACTCCTCTGTACACACTGGGCACAACTTTCATCGATGATAGTGTCCCAAAGCACCAAGCTTCAGTCTACATAGGTAGATATAATTCATTTTGATTTCTTGAAACACCAAATGTACCTTGAGCATCTAGCAAGTTTGGTAATATCATTTTGTATTTTCTATTTGCTTATTTAACTGTTTGTAAGGTTTTTTTTTAGTTGGTTGGGATATAGGATGTGTATTTACAGTTTCTTACAGTAGGGCTATGTTCATCTTCAGGTATATGGAGGATGACCTTATCCCTAAGGCCTCAGTTCCCATGAAAGGGAGCTTCAGCCCTTTTCATGATCAGCACAAAGACCTGAAGGGGCCTTGTAAGTATGCACCCACCCACATTGGGAATTTCCCAAGCAAATGCTCATCTAAGTGATTTGAACATTCATCCATCCATACCTTCCCACTTCATACCTTTGTATGCTCAATACAGTAGTCCTTGACTTATGTCTGCAATTGAGCCCCAAATTTCTGTTGTTAAGTGAGACATTTGTTAAGTGAGCTTTGCCCCATTTTACGACCTTCCTTGCCACAGTTGTTAAGTGAATCACTGTAGTTGATAAGTTAGTAACCCAGTTGTTAAGCGAACCTGGCTTCCCCATTGATTTTGCTTGTCAAAAGTCTCAAAAGGTAATCACATGACCTTGGAACACAGCAATGAACCAGTGGCCAAGTATAAGCTAGTGGCCAAGCATCTGAATTTTGATCAGATGAGCATGGAGATGCTACAAAGGTTGTAAGTGTGAAAAATGGTCATAAGTCACTTTATTCAGTGCCGTTGTAACTTTGAACAGTCACTAAATGAACTGCTATAGGTCAAGGACTACTTGTATGCAAATAATTAAAGCTGGCATGTTTGAGGATGCTGCTTACCCACTTCAAACCACAAGCATTTAATTGAACACCTACACCAGAATTATGTTTTCTAGTAAGTTGGGTGACACTTAGATCCTAATTTGGGAGCCTGGAAGAATTCCTTGTCACATTGCAGTTGTTCCTTCTCATCTGTGTGAATCAGTAGATAAGAATCAGATACTGTGCTCCTGCAGTGTTGACCTTGGTTTCCTTTTCGCTTGCCTAGCCACAACCAGTCTCATAATTATTTTAACCGCAGAATAACGGCATGTGAATACTACAAATGAATAACCAGAAAGAATAACAAATGTGTCAACTGTGACAACTAGACCTATCATTCATTAATGCAGAACAATGAAAATTTCCCATGCAGCAGAAAACAAATATCTGGTGGACCATCAAGGCAGTCAGAAAAGGTGGCAAAAATTGTGAAAGAGAAGGAGGTTTCAGTCCCTTCAGTTATATTCTGAATTACTGCCTTCTAGTCTAGAAGAAGTTGGAAACTTTGGAAAGTCCATTCTTCTTCTTTAAGAATGTTGTGCATTCTTGGAGATTCCTCCTCAGCAGGTGAATTGCAGAAAGTCTTTCTGCATTTTTATCTCCTTCTGGCAAAGGATGCACAGAATCTGAAAGAAGTCCATTATCCTAAATAATATCTTTTCTCTGAACAGCATCTGGCCCTTTTGGAGTAAGCCTTCAGATAAGGGTCAGGTGTCAACATGAGTTCATGACACAATTGATAAATGGAGAAGCATTCCTCTGATAGGAATTGATGGGTAGATTTAATCCAAGATATTTATATTCCATCTTTCAGCCTCCAAATATTTTTCTATTGACTACAGAATACAGAATAATAGAGTTGGAAGATATCTTGGAGGCCTTCTAGCCCAACCTCCTGCTCTAGGTTAAGACTAGGGTATGGTTGGACTCAATGTCTGGCATTTACCATAATTGCATTTATGTGATGAACATTCTTTGTGTTTCAAAAATAAGTTGCATCATTTATCTTTATCTGTATGTTTAATGCATTTTAAATGAGATGGTATGCTGGGAAGAACCAGGTGGAAGCTGGGTCATTCTCCTCTCATTCTTAATTTGTGTCTTCCTTACAGTAACCTATTCAGGATGCATGAACTTAACATTCTCAATGTTATATCACCTTGCACATTTACACAGTAGATATGGGATCCAACATGATTTTTTGTGCTCAATATCCAAAATGCAAACTATTATCTTCCCTGCAGGAATTGGATATGCCATGTCCCTGCTGGGTCCTGCCATTGGCTATGTTTTAGGAGGACAGTTGCTGAATGTCTATGTTGATTTCAATCGTGATATAAGGCAAGAACATTTTGTTTTCCATCTACATAAATAAGAATATACATTTTTTTCTTAATAGTAAGACATCATTTTGAAAAGTTTTATCTTAATAGTTTATACAGAAATACATATATTTTAGTTACCTATAATAATTTTAATGGGTTTGATTGGTAGGTTTTTTTTTTTTTGGTGGTGGTAGGGTGTTTTTTAATAATCAAGCACTGATTTGTAGTTGGGAAACCTGGATTTTAGAACACCAGAGCAGCCATGAAAAATGAGCAATTTTTAATCAATTTGCTACATGTAGATTTTGATTGTTTTATCTTTAGAAGAGGTCTATGCGAAGAGATATACATGAAGCCATTTCTGCTGTGAAAGGCCAACCAATTTACTTCATGAAGCAGTCTGGTTGCTTGAGGCTTCTTTGGACCTCTGCTGTGGAAAACGATCCTCTTAGCCTTCTTTTCTTCAGTATTGATTAAGATGCTTCTAGGTTGGGAAAGGAAGACCTTTCACACGTGTTGTAGTTCCAGACTGGGAAGTTTCAGGGTGCACTGTAGTCAATCCCACTATTTGTGGCGAAGCTACACATTTTGAAAGCACTTCAATCAGTGTTGTAAATTCTCAAAACCTTTTCTTGTGCCTTAAGCTCTGATGAGGAAAAAGAGAGAAAAGGTGCTGTTCTCTTTTGCTTTGCCTTCATAAGTACGGGTGCTCATATTACTATGCAAAACTTATAAAGTGGTGCTACTTTTGAATCTTCCTTGAAGCAAAACACTCCTTCAAGCTTTCTGTACTCTTGAACAATAATACTTGATGGAACTCATTATTACCTGATATACATTCAATTTCCAATTTAGTAAAACAGCACTGATTTCTTTTTTGTATAACTGCATAAATGTTGGGAGAAGGCAGCACAGTTGTAATAAATAAGCTAAAAATGTATATTTTATACAGAATAGGTTTGCAAAAGGTATTGTTATTTAATTCATAATACCTTTGTTAAATATGTGTTTACTAAATAATATTATTCTAGTGTAGACCTCACTCCAGAAGATCCACGCTGGGTTGGAGCATGGTGGATAGCCTTTGTGATATGCAGCTTCTCTACATGCCTTTTAGTAGCACCATTTTCATATTTCCCAAAGCATTTGCCAGGTAAATAAGTATTCTAAAATAAGGAATTCGTATAATACTATAATAACATATGGAGCCTTAGATAAGTTGTTGGGATTCCTAAAGTTATAGTGTCAAACAGTACATAATGAATTAATTAATTAATTAATTAATTGATTGATTGATTGATTGTACTTCAATAAATATTCTGGAATTTGCAACTTTCATATAGCTCATCACAATTTTAAATTATTCTTATTGAAGTAGTGTAATTTTATGAGGAGCATTGGAGTACAAAGTAATAAGGCCTACTCTAAAAAAAAACAGAGAAAAAATAATTACTAAGAGGAACACATTGATCAGTTGGATGTAGACAAATGAAGTCCAGACAGTTATTTCTAAGACAACGTATGTATTGAATAGCAATAAAAATAAGGATGTATGAGGAAAAACTTGATAGTCTTTCAATCTTTGATAAGAAGATTCTTTTTTATATATATCTTATTCTTTAACCAATGTTTGAAAAAAGAAATTACAAGAATCAGTCTTTCAAAAAGATACGAGAAGTCCCTTCATAATGTCCTGAGCTATGGTAGAATTTCCCTGTGGCACAAAATTAAAGTTCTTTAGGAAAAGTTTTGTTTCAAAATCCCCATTTCTACTTTTCAATAGACAAAATTAATTGAACAAGGAGAGGTAGATTCAATCCATTTTTGGGTATTAGCTAATCCCACTTCATTACAGATGGTAGGAATAAATGCTATTATAACTTAATGACTTATGATGATTCCAATCTAAAAACTGCTTTCAACAAACTTAAATATCTTCTTATAAATATTCTTACCTTCAAGCCATTGGCTGATTTTCTGAAACTATTTGTCCTTAAGATACCAGTGATCTGAACAGGCAAAGGAGGACCTAGATAATTGGAAAGAAGGACAAATGGGTGGAAAGGAGGATACACTAATTGTTTAACTTTTGTGACATCTGTAAAAAATTACAGTGCAAATCTACAAAAAATAAAATAAAACCCCTAGGAACTTACTTTTTCCAGTATCAGGTTTCCCAATGGTAGCAATGTGCTAGAGCAGGCGTGTCAAACTTGCATCATCACAATGTCATCATGTGACTTATCGGGACTTTTTTTCCCTTCAGTAAACTAAGCAGGGATGGGGCCAGTATGTGATGCATCTGGCCTCCAGGCTGCAGGTTTGACACCCCTGTGGTAGAGTCAGTTAGGAGGCAAAAGCCTTCAGTACATAACTAATTAAAGTCTTGTTAATTTCAGGCAGCAGAGCAAGCCTGTTGAAAAGTACTCTTCAATTAATTAAGGGTACAGAATAGAGTTTTTTAACTTGCCCTTAGCACTTAAGGAAACACTGTGCCATAGAGAACAGTTGCTATGGAAGAGATACTTGAAAAGCCTGACAATGTTTGATCTTAAGGCTATGCCTGTCTAACAAAGGACATGAAGGCAAAAGGGAGAAATTTGTCCTTTTATTTAGTTACCCATCTTGCCACATGGTAACTATTTTGCTGGAAGTCTGGTAACCCTGTTAGTGCATCCTATTAATGCATTCTTCAAGAGGACAAAACTATTTTAAGTGGGAAATATCTGACAGAAAGATGATCTTGAAATCATAAAGAATGCAGATTTGTGCCCAAATAGACAGACTTACTAAAATTACTTGACCAAACATTAAAAATTACAGCTGATTTCCACAAAATGTATGTATTTGCAATTACAAATGATTTTTGTCAAAAGTAAAATTTCTTTTTTTAGGTACAAGCAAAATACGAGCAGAGAAGATTTCTGAAGCACATCATAATGGAAAACAGATGTGTGAATATACTGGGAGGAGTATTAAGGACTTTCTTATGATTCTCTGGGTAACAAAAGCCACATATTCAAATCAATGTCTGTAGTTAATTTGAATCTGGCCACATTTGGGAGTCATTGTGTCAATAATACTTTGCAAGGCCTCATTAACAGAATGCAACAAGGATAGTAGCATTATTCAATGTTTGAAAAGGCTAGATAAGGCAGTACTTTACATTCAAAGCATTAAAACTAATTAAAGTCAGATTCAAACATCAATTTCAGTAGTGTAGATTTCGTCACCTATGCTATCACTTATTTGAATATTGATTTTTAATAGCCAAAGAGTGGAAGGAGAATTGGATTAGTATAAGATGCTCCGAGAATGAAATGAACATGCTGTTCCTAAGTTTCTTCAAGTCTCCTGGTGGCTTTGTATATATGTGCATATAATTCAAGCCCACAGTCATATTTCATATGTAACAGGTTTAGGCAAAAGTGATTGCCAATCAGAACAATGAGATCTATGATAAATTGGTGAAACTTAAGTAAAAAAGATTAAGAGATACATGACAATGACCTTCAAATGTCTGAAGACCTTTTATGGAGAAGATGGAAAAGAGTTGTTTTATATGATTCTAGAAGTGAACTCTAAAATTAATGAATGGAACTAATAGGGAAGCAGATTTGGCAAAGTGTTAAGAAGAAATGCCTAATTGCAAGGTTTGTTGTAGGGCAGATTATTGAGCGGTGATGGTGGTGCAGATTGCTTCTGTTTAAGCACAAGACCCCTGCCTTTTGAGTTGATAGATGTTTGGATTTTCAACAACTATAAAAACAGCTGCCACAAAGATGTGTCCAATCATAAAATACTCATTAACCACAAAACAAACAAACAAACAAAACACCTTGATGAGATTGCTCCCCATTATCTGTCACCCAATAGATAAAACTCTATCAATGCAAGCCTTTATATATATTTTTCTGGAAGTAGTCACACTTCTAAACAAAGCACTGAGGTGTTGCAGTCATCCATTCTTATTTCCTAAGTATGCCTATATGGCCAATATGAGGTTGATTAGTATTTTTGAAAATCAAAACGATGCTAGAACCTGAGAGTTTACTTGCAGATATAATTTCTTCTTTTTATTTTTTTTAAGGTCTGAAACCAAACCAAAACATGAGGCCAAAGCTTCTGACAAGTGCCAGAGGAGTTTCCATTGGGAATACAGTTGCTCTTCATTAGAGCACATTCCTATTGGGAAGATCTAGTTGGAGTGGAATAAATTGCCTCAGAAAGTTGTAAGGCATTTAAATAAAGACCATCTGTTAAAGATGGTGTGCTGCAAGATTCCTGAACTGTAAATGGTGCTTTAAGCAAAAGACTGAACTAAATGCCACCCCAAGACCTCTTGCAGCTTTAAAATTCAATTATCCTTTGATTTTAAATGGATATTTGATCACTAAGACACATTATTTGAAAAAAAAAGATAAATAAAAAGCATAATAAAAAGGATAAATGTATTAACCATGAATAATAACTTTTATTACCCAGTATATCTTTGCAGATTACACCAACAGCTCTAATTGCCTGTTCCAGTTTATGGCCACTCATCAGTAGCTAATAATGTTTGTTTTCACCACTTCTTGAGGGCCGGTTAGATACTAAATTAAATGATTTTAAAATTAAGTACCAGCTGAGAAATGAGTTCGACAGTTTCATCTCATTCCCTTACATGCCCCTGCAAACCTTGATAGAAATCATAGCCGTTGGCTGTTTTCATCAGCACAAACAGAAAGAAGTTGATACCTTCATGATGATTTCTTATTGCAGTTCAGAGGTGGTATTCAGAAGCTTCTGACCAGATCTGGAGAACTGGTAGCGGAAATTTTGAATAGTTCGGAGAACCAGCAAATACCACCTCTGACGAGAGATTTTACAGTATCCTTCCCCTGCCACATCCACCAAGTCAAGCTCACAGAACTGGTAGTAAAAAAATGTGAATCCCACCACTGCCGCAATTTAGGTCAATAAAAGCTTCTGTTCAAGAAAACAGGCAACGATATCTTAATCTTACTAAGCTATTACAAGGGGGTAACTCCACCTAATATAATATCCTGGCTCAGTCCATATGCTATGCTGAGATGAGGAAATGACCAATATTTTTCTTTGTTTTCATGCATGAACTGGTATCAATCCAGCCAAATTCTTTGTATATTTATAAAAAGAAACCTCCAACAACTTGTTGTGGCCTGTGAACCACAATCATGAGCTGTAAGCCATAATCATCTCAATTATGACAAATCATGGCTTGAACTATCTTGCTTTGCATGTAATGAGTCTATCTCATATATTAGGTTCACCTTTTCAGTTGCATTACTGAAATAAATGAACTTTTGCACGATATTCTAATTTTTCGAGTTTCACCTGTAATAGGTAGGCTGGACTCTTTCAGGCCAAATAGTCCATTAAGAACATATTTTTCTTCTTAATGTGTTCTTGTTTTTCATTGAAGAGATGAACAAGGGGAGAAACATTTCTAACAGTTTTTAAATGATAGATTGAATAGCAAAACTAATGTTATAATGAGAATTTATTCTGAAAAAAATAGATCAATTTCTTTGTGGAATCATCTAAGCAGGTATTATGTATACAACATAACATTGATGTAAGAAATCTAAGTAAAATATGTAGGGGGAACCTAACCAAGCCTCTTTTTCTAGATGCTGCTGAGAAATCCTGTGTTGATGTATCTTGTAATAGCAGCTGCATTAGAAGCTTTAGTCGCTACTGGTTTTGCGACTTTCTTGCCTAAATTTATAGAAAATCAGTTTGGATTTACATCTAGCTATTCAGCTACTTTAGGAGGTAATGTATTTGCTTCATTCTATACAAACACCATTTTAAAGTTGTTAATGATGGGATTTAATACTTGGGGGGGGGGGGGAGAAGAAAACTAAACAATGGAAAGAAAAGCTAGTTTTAAGAGTTTTACTAGAAAATAACCTATTGAATTCTGTGAATTTTATGTCTGGTAAAATTTGTTTTCTTTGATAAACTAATCAGAATAATTTGGGAATCCAAGAAATATTTACTATTCTTCAGGTTATTGTCCCTTGTGGGGCACTGACTCAGGGGAGTCTATGACAATTCACTATGGCCAATTCACCATGGCCAACTCGCTGTAGGGCAATTTGCCACGGCCAACTCACCGCGGGACAACTCGCTGCAAGAGAAGAGTTATACTAATTTCATATAGAATAGAATCATTGAAGAAAAGATGCAAAAGGTGGGACATAATGAAATGTGAATGGTAAAAATTAAAATATTTTTATTTTATTTTAAATAGTTAAATAGAATTGTTAAATTGTCTACCAGTGAGTTGTCCTACAGCGAGTTGACCATGGCAAGTTGTCCTGGAGCAAGTTAGCCATGGTGAGTTGGCTGCAGTGAGTTATTTGGGACAAGTTGTCCCATTCCGGACTCAGAGTGGGGAGTGAAGAAAGCCTGGATTCTCAGTTGATAAAATGTTTTAAGTAGGCACTAACAATTTCAGAATTGGTTTTTGCTTTATGGTTATAATAGGATTTTCTGAATTAGTTTAAATATTTATTTCCAAGCTTGCCTTTCCATTTATGGTAATCAAATTGGGAAAAGGATGCAATTTCTAAAAAAAAAAAAGGGTAGAAACTGTTTAGCAGATTGTTCCCATAAAACTCAAATCAATATATGAGGCAGCAGATAGAAAGATAGTGTCTCTTAGCATGCAACATATATTGTTGTGGCTTCTATTAGGATTGGCTTCTCACAAAGAAAGAAATCCCACTTGGAATGGACACTTATAGTTTGAGAATCTACTACTTCATTGGGGAGAAGAATTGGTGCTCCATGCAGGCAGGCAGATTCTTTCTGGCTCTTGAACCTTCCTGATTGCAATGCCTGTTTGAAAGATAGCTCCAGGGAATGGAGGGGCCCTAAGGTGACACTGCAGGAAGAACCATGTCTTTCTTTCTGGTGGTAGTAGTCAAATCTACTACTCCCAAGACACAACCAGTTAAGTGAACTTCACTCTTCATTATATGGAGTGAAGTTTTAATAGCCAAACTCTGAAAGATAAATTTAATAAGTATTTAGAGATTATTTAACAGTAAAGATATTGGTGTTTGTACTTTTATCTTGATAATGTGGAACACCGTAGTAACTATTTTCAAAAACCATTGAACTATAAACTGGACAACTGGATGCTTTTTAGCTCAGAGGGTTGTGCTAGGTTTATGGTTCAGTGTGTGATATAAATCATATAAATCTTGAAATTGGGTTAATTGACTCAGTTATATAGATTTGCTAAGCTTGTTTGTGTGACACAGCTATAGAAATAACTGCAGTAACTGCAGGAAAATGTTTTTTTTTCACAGATTAGCATTCCAAATTCATTTCTTTTTTAGTCATTTGATAAAAATAAAACATGCAGAGAGAGAAAAGTAAAATAATGACTGTTTACCATAACAATAATATAACTGTGTTTAGTTCTCTTTTTAATAGTGAATATATTTATTGTTTTATTTTAAGTGAAATTATTACGTTGGTAACTGTTTTCCTTTATTTTCTTTTAGGGCTTGTCTTAGTCCCAGGAGCAGCAATTGGCCAAATCATAAGTGGTACCTTAATTTCCAAGCTGCAAATGAATTGCAAAACTATAATCAAGTTCATTATTGCTACTTGTACTATGGCGCTGCTATTAAACATGGTGTTTGCATTTGCTAAATGTGGGAATGAACCATTTGCTGGTGTTTCTGAAACATATAACGGGCAAGTATATGATTAAAAGTATATATTAAAATTATTATGGCCACAAGTTGGTGTATTAAATCAAACATTTTTCAGAATTCATTTTATGTTTTATATTTTTATACATCTCAGAGATAATGAAACATAAAATCAAAATTGCTCATATTGATGTTGATGAAAATAGTATACATATTTCCATCACATTGTCTTTATGGGAAAAGTGGTATCATGCAAAGCATAGAAAACAAATAGGAAAAAGTAGAAGACATAAGACAAATAGAACTACTACAACTATTCATTATATATCACCAGAGCTTATTGTTTTTGTGAATCCTTCACTTTTCACTCACATGCTTGTGTTATAAATTAGTCCTCATTCGTTCTCCCAATGACACTACAGGTAGTGCTCAGTTAACAATCCCTCCTTCAGCATCCATTCAAAGAAACAACAAAGCTGAACAGGTGGGAGTTCTAATCAGTCTTCAAAGGCTTCAAAAGCTGTCCCAATACTGTTAGTCCTCAACTTATGATCACAATTGAACTCAAAATTGTATGATGCTGAGTAAACATTTGTTAAGTGAATTTTGGCCCATTTTATGATCTTTCTTGCCATAGATGTTAAGTGAATGACTGCTGTTGTTAACTTAGTAACACAGTTGTTAAGTGAATCTGGCTTCCCCATTGACTTAGTTGTCCGAAGGTCAGAAAAAGTAATCAAATGATCTGGGACACTACAACCATCATAAATATGAGCCAGTTGCCAAGCCAAGCACTTAAGTTTTGATCATGTGACCATGGGGATATTGAAATGGTTATAAGGGTGAAAAATTGTCCTAAGTCACTTTTTTCAGTGCTGTTGTAACCTTGAATGCTCACTAAATGAACTGTTGTAAGTCAAGAGCTATGTATACCCACAGTCATGTGATCACAATCTGGACACTTGGCAACCTATGACAGTTTCAGTGGCTTGTGATCACATGATCACCATTGGTGACCTTCCCTGCCAATTTCTTATGGGAAAAGAAACAGTTGTAAGTTGCTCAAGTAAGTCTCCCCCATCCACACACTCTCCCTGAACCTTGCTGCACTCCACCCTCACACACTCTCCTCCACCCAGCAGCAACCACTCCAATCTCCACTGTGTTCATGCCATGCCTCCCCTGCAACCCACACATTCTAACGCCCCTCCACTAGCCTTGCTATGCTCGTATTGTACCTCTCTGGCCACTTGCAGATGCACCCTCTCTCACCCAGCAGCAGCCATCCCAAGCCCTGCCTCACTCGCACCACACTTCGCCAGCCACCAATTCATCCCCTTGCCCCCATCTTGCAGCAGCCATCAGATACTTGCTGGCCTGCTTTGCTAACTTCCTGAAACTTGCAACTTCCTGGTGTTTGCTTGTTGGGAGCCAGTAGGAAATTGTGAGAGAGACTCACTTAATGATTCATGTTCCTCACTTAACAATGACAAGATGAACTGTAGGTATTGTTATTGCTAAGTGGTGTGATCATGTGACATTATGTTTTATGACCACATTGCTTATCAATAAAAATTCCAGTCTCAATTGCCATCATAAGTCAAGGGCTACCTAGAAACCCTCTCCATGAACTTCAGTGGTCTCCCATTTCTTTTCGAAATGAAGAATATAATTTTTTTAAAAAATCCTTGCATACACATTGCAGTAAGTTTAGAAATATTTAGCTCCAATTATTATTAATGAATGGAATGAATGAAATGAAAACACGCTATTATGGAAAGTTTATTTTTTATTTCACCTATATATTATTTCCCTGTTTCAGGACAGGCATGTTATCAAACTTAACAGCACCCTGCAATGCCCATTGTAGATGTTTGCATTCAGACTTTTTGCCCATCTGTGGTGCAGATGAAGTCCAGTATTTTTCTCCATGTTATGCAGGATGTACTGCTGTTGTTTCTCAGAAGCATGCAACAAAGGTATGCCCACTTTATGTTATGAAAGAGGATGCTCACTCTACATCAGATCTAAATTCTGAATTTTAAAAAATGGTTTAGCCATGTGCTTTGTTTAAGATGTATCAATCAGAATGTATCAATCAGAATAGAGCTGGAAGGGACCTTTGAGGTCTTCTAGTCCAGCCCCCTGCTCAAGCAGGAGACCCTATGCTATTTCAGAGAAGTGACTGTCCAGTCTCTTCTTAAAAACCTCCAGTGATGAAACATCCACAACTTCTGAAGACAAGCTGTTCCACTCGTTAATTGTCCTCACTTTTAGGAAATTTCTCCTTAATTCCAGGTTGCTACTCTTCTTGATTCGTTTCTATCCACTGTTTCTTGTC